AAAAAAAAAAAAAAAGTAAATGTAATTATTATACAAATATTGAAATCCTTGGAATCAGCGTACAACATTTTTCCAAGGGGCCACCAGTTACCAGTGGAAACGGAAATGGTGACCAGTATTAGTTTTGAACATGTTGAAGGTAAACGGCAGTTTGTTATCTTCCTGCTTTCAAACAGGAGCGAAGACACGAAACACAGAGGAGCTGAGGATTGTGCTGGTGGGGAAGACTGGATCTGGGAAGAGCGCCTCAGGAAACACCATTCTTGGCTGTGACACCTTTGAATCAGTGATGAGCCCCAAGTCTATTACTAATGAGTGCTTCAAGGCCAGAGCATCGGTGGACAGACAAGACGTCGTGGTGATCGACACTCCAGGCCTGTTCGACACCAGGCATGCAGTGAGCAAAACATGTAGAAACATCAGCCAGTGCATCTCTTACGCTTCTCCAGGACCCCACGTCTTCCTGATCGTCATCGGACTGGGCAGGTACACGGAGGAAGAGATGCAGACAGTGCAGCAGATTCAGGAGCTGTTTGGCCAGGCTGCTGACAGATACAGCATGGTCCTGTTCACTCGAGGCGACAATCTCAAAGGCACCCCTATCGAGCAGTTCATCGGAGACTCACCGGAACTGCAGGAGCTCGTGGCCAGATGCCACGGCCAGTACCACTTCTTTAACAACAACCTGAAGACTGGCCCTCAGGTCCCCGAGCTGCTTCAGAAGATCAGAAATCTAGTGAGGAATAATGGAGGAAGCCACTACACCAACGAGATGTTCCAGGAAGCAGAAAGAGCAATCAATGAGGAGAAACAGCGCATCCTGGTTGAGAAGGAGGCAGAGATGCGCATCGAAAGGGAGCAACTGAGGAGCGACCTGCAAGCAGAACATGAAGAACAGCTCAGGAATCTCAAGAAACATTATGAGGCTGAAAGGATGGAGGACAGGAAAGTGAGAGAGCAGGAAAGTCAGGCAATGCAGGCCAGATTGAATGAACTGACAAGGGAGGGTGAGAGGTTTATCAATGCAAAGGTGGAGATGGAGATGGAGAGGCAAAGGGAGAAGCAAAATATGGAGCTGGTGCTGGCGAGGGACAGTCGGGACAGGGAGCAGATGCAGGAGCAGATGCAGAATATGTTTATGGCGTTAAGCATGCAGAACAATCAGACCTTGATGGCGATGCAGAATCAACAGCAGCAGCAGCAATTGGAGATAGAAAGGCAGAAAATGGAGCTGCAGCACAGAGATGATGCAGCGAGGATGGAGAGAGAGCTCGATGGAGCTGGATGGGAAGCAGAATATGATGAACAGTTCATAAATAATGAATATTACGAGGTTGAAGGGATGGAGGACAGGAGAGCGAGAGAACAAGAAGAACAGGCAATGCAGTCCAGGTTGAATAAACTGACATGGGAGGGTGTAAGGTTAAACAATGCAAGGATAAAGATGGAGGTGCAGACGCGCAGGAAGAAGAAAGATATGAAGCTGGTGCTGGCGAGGGACAGATGGGACAGGGAGCAGATGCAGAATACGTTTATGATGTCAAGCATGCAGAACAATCCAACCTTAATGGCGATGCAGAATCAACAGCAGCAGCAGCAACTGGAGATAGAAAGGCAGAGAATGGAGCTGCAGCAGAAAAATGAGGCAGCGAGGAGGGAGAGGGAGCTCGACAGAGTTCGGTGGGAAGCAGAAAAGGCTGAATTATTAAGGAAATGATTTATAAGCAAGCTAAAGGCCAAGGAGTAAGCTTTGGAGGAGAGGCATGAAGGAGAAGCCAGAGAAAAAGCTGAAGATAGAAATCCAGTAATGGCTTTAGTCGATGGTGCAGTTGGACTATGCAAGAAGGGCTTCAACTTCATTAAGGGCGTACTTAGCTAGTTTTGACAAAGATTTCAGGGCCGATGAAGATGACAATAGTTAGAGCACCTGCATGTGTGTCCTCACCATTATTTTAGAAAATGGCCATGATGTTCACTTGCCTGAATTTTATTTTCTGTCACCCAATCATGTTGTATTTGTTGTGTTGTCAATGCACTTTACTTAAATATAGTGATTTTTGTTTTTAATCAAAGGCAACATTAAACTGTAACACTTACTAAATTCCAAATCAGATTTCTATGTTAGTCATTGTAAAACCACACAGATCCACACAGCATGCACAAGGAGATGTAAAATGTCCATCAAGAGATCCAAAACAACCACAAATATATAAAATAACCACAAAAACATTCCCAAAGAAATCCACCAAGAGACACAAGACAACCAGAAAGACATGCAGAAAGACCAAAAATATGACACAAAATTAACAAAAGACACATAAAAACACTACAAAGAGACACAAAGTGGCCGCTAAGACAGAAAAGACACAAATCAACGTTTGTACGAAGAAGTTAAAATGTTCGCAGGAGTGATCATTTTGACTGGTGACCCAGACTCAGAGCAGAAAAACAACTTCTTCAATAAATAAATGTGA